CTGGTCAGACAGAGACCGGGACGACAGGTCCAGATGCAACCTGGATTCACGGGCCTGCTGATGGCAGGGCGTGCCTCCGACGATGATGAAGACTTTCGCACAACAAGCCCTCTGGACAGTGACTTGGAGAGCGCAAAGTCCAACATGCTGGCTTACCCCTACGTGTACAACCGACAGGACTCCCTTCGAAGGAAGGTGCAACAGCCGCCGCCACCACAGACTACTTACCCTGTGGAAGCGCGCGTTATACATTCGGGCTCTCCGGGCGGTGTTGCAGAAAGGTTGCTGCCGATGGGACATGCTGGGCTGATGGGTAGGTTAAACGAACATGCTTCAGTATCAGTTTGTTGAAGGAAAGATAGACGAATAACTTTGAACTGCCTTTTAGTAAGAAGGTGACTTAAACGCTTGGAAACCAAAAAAAAGAAAAAAAAAATACTTCATTTGCACACTTGCAAGCGAATATCTAAAAGCGTGAGGTGCCAAAATAGTAATAAAACATGACTACTCACTTAACACGAGTAGTATATATAATAATGTCCTAGTGAATCAGGTGGATATAGTCTTTGGTGCATGCCCAGTTTGCTCTGAATTGTGTACACACAGGTGGAGAGGAAAACTAATGAAGCAGTTTGAAAAGTAAGATGGACAAGCATAGGTTTTTGGCCATTCCTCCTCTCTAGCAGACTGATGGTGACGTCCACATATCTGTGGTCATAGACTCGGTGGGAATCGAACCCACACAACAAGGAAGGCTTTTGCGCAGTAAACGCTCTACTATTGGAGTAAGAGGCTCACCATGAGCAGTGAATTTAATGAGACTTTGGTCGATTTATCCTCCTAATAATTAGGTGAGCCTAGTAGTCATTCTGACGGATTGCTTAGGAAACCATGCGTGGGCAGTCAGTTTCCTGTTTTCGCAATGGTGGATTCCATACTAGCAGTAGGTTTGGCGGAAAAATCAACTACCAATAATTCAATTGATTCAATAATGAAAAATTCGCGGCCTCGGTGGAATTTGAACCCACACAGCAGGGATGGCTTTTGTAGAACCGATGCTCTACCATTGAGTCACTGGGAGCGGCGAATTTAATCACACCTGGGTCTATCTGCTGGCCCAACTTACTGCACGTATGGAATCCGGTAGTACAGATACAGTAAGCTGAGTGCCATGTAGGATTTCCTAAGTAATCATCTTGAAGTAGCCCAATGGCAGAGCGTTGGCTGCGCAAAAGCCTCCCACTGACTAAGATCGAGGCCGCGAGCTTTTCACAATTCGTTCAACTGAACTTTTCAGATCTGCAAACCCTCCTACTATTAATTTCATTTATATTGCCTTCCGTCAAAAAACATTTTCCTGCAAAAGAATATTTGTGCACAATTTCTGAAAAATTTAAAAATGGCTATTTTCGACTACGGCTTAGACAAATGTAAAAATTGAGCACCCTTCTCTGTACGAACTAGCTTGAGACTGTGTTTCGCAATAAACAGTCCCGAAAACACCCTTTCTTCCTTTTGAGGGCATATTTTGTTGTAAAGTCCATAGTAACGTAAGCCTCGGCGTATTCCGGATTTCCAATATGCAGGGACTTTTTAGAATTTTATCATATGGTGCCAGAAATGGGCTCTTCATCGCCGAATGGCCACTTATCTGTTGGAGCACGAAAAGCAAGCATAAGGGAAACATAAAATTTTGCTTTTGATATCTTTCGGGGTGAATATCATTTTTAAGGCAGGGCGCGCGTGTCTATTATTTTCTCCCTACGGAGGACATTTTTACGGACTTTCTAAAAGTTCATTTTTGTTTAATCCAACATTTGCCAAAGTCATTTATATCCTCCTAAGTTTAAAACCACCCACGCAGGTTACGTCTTTTGAATTACCTCACCGCTGTTGAACGCAAATCATTTTGCTATTGATAAGGTCTAATTTCTCCCAGTCTTTCTGTTTCATGCCCTACCTTGTTTAGCTTTCATTTTCCAGCTTGCTCAGACAAATGCCCTTCATTATAAAGCAAAGAGCCTACTAAAATCAGGCATTGACAAGTAAATGGACCATTTGTTCTGTTGGGAAGAGCACGCGAGATTGTCGACAAACTTTTGATGCAGAAGCACAAAAGTTAATTAGCTATTCAGTTATATAAATAGCTCTACAGATTGCAATAAAGTCTCCTGTCTGCCTTGAAGGCAAAATAAGACATAAAAGTGTGCGTGTATTTGCTGCTTAGATACGCAGTAAAACGCTAATAGATTAGGTAAAGATATTTGACTTTGGACAGGATGCATATTCTTTACCTGATTACCTATGGCCTTGCGCTGCAATAAAACTTGAAATATTCCTCGACTGTTTTATCATTGTTTATCTTTTGTCGTCAGAATGCATGATAAACTTTTCGTAAAAATCCAGGACAAGAAAAAAAAGGAATGTTTGTAACAGCGGAAATGCAAGTCCCAGAAATTAATTGAGAAGAAGTAGATGCAGGACAAGAGTGTTGTTCACCTGGTGTTTCGAAATATATCGCAGATCCAACATCAGAGACAATAGCAGAAACGGGTTTCAAAAGGACAGGCGAATAAAATTATTGTCCCAGCGGTTACATCGAATTCTTCATAGCGAATGCTTTCGAAATGAAATCCATTGAGATTCTGTACTCATGTCACAGTTATGGTGCCAAACACAATTGCATACTTCCTCCGTATGACAGTTTATGGCAAGCCTGAGTTAAAATATCAGCCTATAACCTGTGCCAATTTACTTCCTTCAAATAAGAAGAAGGAAGCAAAGGCAGCACATAGAACACCAGCCAACACACAGTAATTTTTGGTTTTGAAGACTCAAAAATATAAAACATACTCATGTGGAAAATGCGTCCCAAGCGACCACATTACCAGTTTATATTTTCTCTTTTTATAGACAGTGAACCCAAACCTTTGTAATTGATAAGGTGACAGATAAAATACTACCGTCTAAAGAAAGCTTTATAGCGCGAGCTTACTCATTAGATCAAGGAGACATTGTACCAGGAATTCAGATGTGTAAACTGACTAACGACTATCTTTCTAAGCGATAACATTATCACTCGTAGTTGGTAATACACAGGATTTTAATGCGGTCACTTAGAGTATTTGGAACTCAGGCAATAGGGAATGGAAAGTTTTTTTAAATAGACACGCATTTGTATGTTCACGAGGAACGCAGAATTTGTTTCCTGTTTCGTCTAGTTTAGGAGTTAACAGCTTAAAATTCTGAGGTCTCACTTGATCTCTGCCTTCCGCCCTAGTGCAGACACCAGCATTCTGCAAATGTATTTGCGCACGATCCCGAAAATTGGTGTGTCTGGTCTACGGTTGATCAAAATAAGGGTTATATTGGTCAACGGCACGCATTTGTTGGGCAGTACAGAGTTCGTGTGGTCTTTTAAACATTGCCATGCTCTCAGAGCAAAGTGGGCGACGAAGGACGCAGGGGGATAGATTTTTCGCAAGTGCGCTTCAACTGCGGTGCAATCAGGTCCCTAGAAATGACCATTCCAATACCTCTGGTCCTTGTCGGCAATACTAACCTCCGGTTCAACCTATCTTGCCTACTGTGTGCTCAGCCAGAAGGGTAGTTGCGGACGCAGCGAGTAGCACATGGATTAATTTAATGCGATAGCACAACTGTACTGAATGTGCCCCGTTCTCTCGTCCTCCTCGTCCTTTTCAGAGAATTGAGCTGAACAGAGAATGAGCCGATAGGAACGTAAGCAGGTACAACTGGCTACAGAGTTAGGCGTCAGTGAAAATAATTCACGCACCAGACAGGGATACTGAGCCCGCTCATTGGCCCAGGCAGTGGACGGCCGGGTTTGCGAACTGTCTTTTTCACATAAAGTCATTTTACCATGTACACATGCAAATCGGCATAATTGTTACTTGCCCGGTCTAGGATTATTCATTGTTCGGTCATTCATCTTTCTAACTAGGGTATTGACTATGGCTTAGGTGTAGGCGTAAGTAAGTAACAGTTATTAAACAATACCCTGCGCAGAATATTTAAATATATACTAATTAATACCATAAAGCGACAACTAAGTGATTCGAGTCAGAGTAGTAAAGAAACGGAACATATTTTATGCTAGCCCATTGTCATCTGGTAAGGCAAACCTAGGTTTCTTCCTAATACCCTCAAACAATTTTTACAGCGCTGGCGGCATAGGGTTAATTGTTGAATGAAATGCCTGAAAGCATATTGCTGCTGTTTGTGCTAGTCTCGTGTTAGCCTTTAGCCCAACACAAATGTAATATAAAATGTAGCATAATATAATTCTGCGTGGCGACGGGATAAATAACTGACCCATAATAAGAAGTCTAATATTTGCACCCATTTTGATTTAGAAACGGACGAACTCTAACTGGATGGAAAAAAAATCAGCCACGCTTACCCTGCATTTTATTGCTTATCTCGCACTTAGCGCTACCTGTTCGCGGGAAGCTGTCAAAGTATGTTTATCGCCTACGCAGTTTTCTTTATCAGTTTTCTTTAAAGCAAAAAAATTGTATAGGCTGGAGGAATTCCGTACCGTGGGGTATCATTAAATTCCGCCGCAGACTAAGGACATTTAAAAGTTCGTGTGTGAATTAACGGTTTTGAAATGATGAAAAAGAAGTATTCTTTTCGCGCCAACTATTTCAAATAATAGTGTGACCGCCTCGTCCGCGAATTTAACTTTTCAGTCGTTTTCAGGCAAAAAGGATGTCTTTCCGTACCAATGAGTACAATTAAATTCTATAGTAGGTAAAGGCTATTGAAAAGTACAAATGTGAATTAAGGGTTTCGAGATGATGAAAAAAAGATCCTTTTCCTGCGCCGGCTGTTTAAACGAATAGAATGGCTGCCTCGGCCAGGCTTTTTATTTTTTTCTGTCGGCTTGAACTAAAAAGCATTTGTAAGCAGCAGGAAGTCTGCACTGCTCGGTATAATTAAATTCAGCGGTAGATTGAGACCATTAAAGTGTTCAACTATTAAGTAAGTTTTTTGAAATGATGAACAAATATTTTCTTTTTTGGGCCAGTTCTGGCCGCCTCGACCAGGCATTTATTCTTTCAGTCGTTTTCATTTAAAAATAAGTATAGGCCGTAGGAATGTCGTACTGCTGGGTATCGTTAAAGTCTGCGGTAGATTAAGGCCACTTAAAAGTTCAAATGAGATTTTAGGATTTTTAGATGATGAAGGGATATTACGTTTTCGGCGCCAGTTTGCCAAATAATAGTACGGCCGCCTCGACCAGGCTTTTATTGGGGTATGCAATGTTGATGCTCGTAGCATATAACGAGCTCCATTTTGGAAATAATTTAACGTGCAAGAACAGAAATAACCTTTTAGCTCAACTGCTGACTGATGTAATTGCTAGGTCTGGCACATACTCCGTGAGTGTCTTAAAACTCTTCATGTTAAACAAAATTCCTTCCAGTCTCCACAGCGTGGATCATAAATATGTACCTTTATGCGTACTCACTGAACGCTGACTCACAAGTGTTAATCGAGATAAGAGATGTAGTAGCTTGTAAGCGTGCATTTAATACTTCCAATACAAATTGTACTTGAAAGCACGCAGCAGTATGGACAAAACAAGAAATGTACCTAAATATCACAGTTCTGTTGACAGGAACTTTATATTTTTAATAATAAATAATTCACTGCAATCAGGTACTTGACTTAAGAGCTCAAACGATGTTATTAGCGTTCACTTCTCCGCCAACATGACACGTGTTGAAGTTGACATCGACAAATTTGAGCTTCATTACAACATTCTTTCCCCTTCGTCGAATTTCTGAAAAAAATATTTTACGAGGACAGTTTCCACTACCATCGTTTTTCAACATGAACGAACTAGGCGACATTTCGGAGCTCCCTGCTGCCCTAGTCGTATTCGGATGGTACTTTTTTCTCAGGATCAAATCTACTCAGATTAAAATAAAGTGCTAATCAACAGAGTCCAATTTTGATCACATTTTTGCACAAATTACCACGTCTATTGTTATTGTAGCAGACGGACATTTTCAACTGCTATAGAATTCCCCTGAATGAGCGAAAGGGGCAAATGTATGAAACACAGAAATCAATGCTTAACTGCTGATTTTGGATCGCATTATAAGTCAGGTAGCTATAAAAAGCCCCCCAGTCATTGCTAATGAGACAAAATGTAGGCAGACACACAAAAAATCCTAGTGCCTTACACAACCGATCCTTTTTTAGGCTCTACCGAAATACGTGGTTCTGATAGTGAAGCCGACTCCTATCGTTATCCCAACTCTGTGGGCAGTGCGCCGACTGTCAATAATTCGCCTCCACCTCAGTGCTTCGCGGAGAAATCGCTGCCTAGACACGAGATGACATCCGGCAATATGTCCATGAGCTTCCAGAGCGGCCGCCCCATGGAACCCCCAAGGAAAACGGCCTTCCGACAGGCAGTTGGCGGCGCACGCAAAGCTCTTCCTTCCTCCTCTGGCCGGAATGGGAGCTTCGGACAGGGCAGTTTCAGTGTCACCACCAGTCCAGAAACGGAGACCAAACTGGCGGGTTCGGGTTCCACAGCAGGCAGCAGTGGTTACGGTAGTGGTACAACTGCAAATGGGCGGCAGAAGGCAGCGACGACGTCGTCTTCATCCGAGGTGGAGGGTTCATTTTTCCAACACCTGATGGATCTTCCAAAGCCACAACCGATTCGTGCCACTGTGAAGGGTATTCGCCAAATTACCGCCAACGTGAACGGTGACGGCCGAATGAATCCAAGTAAGATCCAGGCCGCCAGCGGCATTTCTAACATTATTTTTTTAATTAACCATCTAGAGCACAAATTTTTGCATATACTGCTATGTTTTGAGGAAGGAGGCCAAACAAACTTGATGGTTTGGCAACCATCGCGTTTACTGATCAGAAAACTTACTTCGCATAACTGTCTTCATACTTCGTATTAGTTGGCATGTTTCGTTTTATTTAATGTCGGCTGTTTCCCAGTCGATGCACTCCATCGACCTATAACATTGAACTCCCACTGAAATCAATAACAGTTTGCCTTATCTTAGCCTAGTTAGTTAAGGCTAATTAATTTGCTTATCGCTTATCTTACTTTTTCGCTTTTATTTCAGTTTCTTATAGGGTTTTGTTAATATTACTTTGTTTAAGTTCAGCGATGATACCCATGTAATCATTCAGGAAGTCAATTTATGCGAACGAACCTTTTCGATTAATTCATCATCAGGCAATACAGTAATATAAGGGAGGGTAGGGTTAACGACAGTTTTAAGCAAACCGATCAGTAATAAGGGGAAAGGGGGAAAGAAGTATAAAGGGATCAGATTATAAGCTTAATAAGGGACCAGAGAAAGAGGATTGGGGAGAGAATAAGTATCCGACAATTAGTTTATTTCGTCCCGTCGTCCTTGTCTCCAGTTTTGTTGGGATGTGTGAGGATGCAAGGTGTCCAGGTGTCCCTTATATTACTGCATCGCCTGATGATAAAATAATCAAAAACGTCCATTTGACTAGCTTGATTTAATGAAAAATACTTACGTTTTGAGGTTATTTTCAGTAACGTTAGGTAATTTATTTTAGTTACCTTGTATTTACTTTCGTTTAAGTTAAGATTTAAATTGATTAGCGATGTGCAGTGGCTCACCGAGTTGATAGTTTATTTGAGCCTAGTTTATATAGATTGGTCTATTTAACTTAATTATGTTTTAGTTTAGTTTTTCTGTTCGCTTTTGTTTCTGTTTTAGTTTAGCAGTATTTACTATTGTATTATTTTTATTATAGTTATTTTAGCTTATTTTACTTTATTTTTCTTTACTTGTATTAAAGTAATTTCAGTTAATGTTATAGTTGACTTTAATATTTATAAGGTATTCATTTTTACTTTATTTTTTACTCTGCTTTAAGTCTGTCTCGGAAATTTGCCATTATTTTCGTTGTTGCGCAAATTTCTGAACTGCCGGATGTTTGTGTGGTTGCATATTTTACACAATTCTTGTTTTCAGTTAGTTTTATTTCTCGATTTTTATTTATGGCGCGTTTTGCGCTAACAAAAATTAACTTTTTAAAATAATTGTTCAAATTATTTCTTATTTTTTACGCGCTACTTTTGACTCTTCCTTCTTCGGCATAAGAATTCTACGCGACTGATACCGGCAGCTTTTTAATGTCTACTTTTAGTTGTCAGGTAGCAATGAAAGTTAAAAAGTTCCAAAATTTGTGGATATCCAGCAACATATTTCATCCAAATGTCCTTCTATTCCCTTTGAGGCTTTCCCCAAGTGCCAAAGACTAAAACCTAAAACCAGGGGAGTCTAAAGTAATCCTTCGGGAGTTCTCTTCTTGGCCGTACTTCAGCCTAGACGTGGTAACACCGGAGATTTGGTGTCGGTTCCGGTTGGCCGGTGAACCATATGTTCAAAGTGCGGTAACAAGAACTGATGTGCCGCGGCCCGCGATCACAAGCAGAACATGATTAAAGGCCTGCATGCAGCCTTTGTGGGATTCAGGCCTAGTGGTCTCACAGGCGATTTCACATAGGCGAGTACTTGATAACTGTGAAGCAATACCAGCTGCTAGGTGACGAACACCGAAAAACAAAAGTGATACATACAGTCGATGACGCTTTCCGAAGGCTGACATATCATTTTTCTACAAACCTTGCTATATTTATTGAAAAGCTGAAGGCAAACTTAACACGACCATTTATGGCCTAGGCACGGCTCATCACAAAATAACGGGTGACAGTTTATTTGTTAGCCCCTTTGAGATAATTCGAAGCTCCGAAAGTCGGTCTTACGAGACTGGTTCAGTTTATTGTTTATTTTATTATTAGTTTCAATTATGCTTTCAGTTTAGCATAGTTTTCTTCGTTACGCTTAGTACATAGAAGTTGAATAAATATATTTATATGGCGTTGGCAGTATATACATAAAAGAAAAAATAAACGAAAACTTCAAAATTAAACAAGAAACTAATAAATAAGCTAAAATACAAATAAAAAAACAAAAAAACACAGCGCTCGGGGCTAGAGATATCTTAGATGAAGGACTAACTCCTCTTTTATTGACTGCATCATCACTTGACCCACGTTTGTGTCAAAATAAGAAGATTCACCTATAAATTTTTCCGTCACTGACTTGTGCCACCTCTGCCGCTTAAAGGAAGGAAATCCTAGCGATGTAATCGAAATCCGAAAAACTAGAAAGTTGTTAGATACATGAACTGAAGGCACTGACATTATTCTGTAGACAGGTCAATATCACGAAAGCTGATTATTATAGGGATTTGATTAAACGATTGCTTACTTCTTAAAGATCAGGTGCATCTAAATCATTCCCCTCATAGAAGTTTGTGGGACATTTTCTCTGATGCACATTTAAAGATTGGATGGACAACAGATCTTAACGGAACCATACATTTCGCGTGTGTTCTTCAGCTACGGCCCCTCGCGGAAGTCTCTCATAGTTTATTTATCTTACACAGCGAGAGGCCACAGCTGAAATGCACTCGCTAAATTCAACTGCTTATGCCATCTTAAAATAATTCCTTACGCCGTTAGAGCGTCCACTTCTTCGAGTTGAACCTTAAATGGGACCTTTATCACTTACCAGTCGTCGGTGAGACCGACGTGCATACAAGAGCTCAAATAATGCCAGAAATTTACAGTTTTAGGTCTTCACAGCTTTGAGGTGAGTAATATTTTGAGAATCAGTGAGAAAGCAGGTGTGTCCAGTACTATTTACAGTAACCGTTGTTCTCCTTTGTAAACGAAGACAATCAGTCTGTATGTTCTGTGAAGAAGTTTTTTGATCGTTACCTCCGAGAAATGAAATTCTATCGAGTTTTCCACGAAGAATGGCGGTTCTTAATCTAGGAGTTATCAGGTATTCCAGACCGTTGACGATAATGATTTACATTCGTTAAAAGATACTGTGTCTTGTCGAATTATTTTGCAGACCAGTCAAATTATTATGTTCACAAAGGTCCCTGTTCTGAAAAGAGAGGCTATACTAAACCAACAAAATGTCACTATTGCAAAAGTAGGCAAATTACTTTTTATTTTAAAAAATGTTTACCCGGTTTATGCGAAAAGGAAGCACACAGCCTGCGTTTACGAATAATTCCTAGTTATGGAGGGAAAGGCCGGCGTAATTATAAGTTACGTCGATTCACGAGAACAAAGTTTTCTTTATTAATTTTCTGGTACTGAAATAAATTCTTTAGCGATTGAACATTTTTTCGCAATTAAACGAAACCAAACTAATGGATAGTCCGAATTTGAGCAAGACAAATACTACGTCCCTAGGCGGATTTAATGACGTCATGCAATATCATGACCCCTTGTTCAACTGCAAGGCAGAAAAAAATGTGTTCCTGTCTTTAAACTAACAAAACCGTTATGACAGACCGGAGAGTAGGGCAAATATTGTTAAACAGTCAAGCAGAAGAGTCCAAATCAGACCTCTCGAATAAGTATGGCGCAATTCCGCTTGGGAATTATTGAGAACATGTGACTGCTCTTATCTAACTTGGGTTGAAGAAAGAACTTTGTGGTTAATGTGTTTTATCACACAACCACATCGGTTTTTTCGTTTCCAAAAGGGAACATTATTAATAAATTCAGTTAATTGTTAGTGGAAATTTTAACATCACATGACTAACTGAAATGCATATTATCGAGAAATAGGCGTCACAAACAAGGAATGGTTAAAACAACTCAAAAACAAAGTCTTGCAATCCTGCCTTATTCATTAGGCATTCATGAAAAGACATTTACCAAAGACTTGCCTTGGTAATAATACTATTCAGCGGTTTTATTGTACAGTCATTCCTAAGGCGATTTTTTGATAGCACATGTCGCACTATTAATGCGAAGGCATCCTAAGAATTAAGCTACTATGATGTGGATATTTTTTACGTGAAAACCTTTCATGTGAAAATAAGGCGAATGATAAAATTAAGTTTATAGATCTCATATATATTTTCAAGAAGGATACAGGAGGCGAAGAGACGAGAGTTTCGTTTGCAATATTCAGCCCTATCTATAGACCACACAATTCAGTGGCTCAGTTCGAATTAGTAACTGGTTTTTGAAAACGTTGATAGACTAAAATTTAAAAACTGGATTTTTTACCAGAAAGCATAAGGGCAATACCGGAGAGCCCACTAATGAGCCGATATCCTCACATCCGCCGAATATCGTCAAAACCCTTCTCTGAGCTTAAAGCCGGTGCTTGTGCTGCCAGCGGGGTGTATTACTCAAGCGCATTGAATTTCTCTTGACCTTAACTTTACGCATTTTGCAGCTGCTTAATTAAAATGCATAATGGGTTAAATATTGCTTTTTTTCAATTGAACAAAACCGAACTAATGAATAGCAAAATGTTGAGCAAGACAAAGACCACAATACTAGTAGGACTTAGTGACGTCATGCAATTCTTTGACCTATTGTTTAGCTCAAGGCAGACAAAATATGTCTTTGCCTTTAAACAATAATGACAGATCAGATAAATTGGAGAACAGGGCAAATATTGTCAAACAGTCAAGCAGAACTGTTCAACACGGAACTTTAGAATAACTGTAGCGTCATGCCGCGTCCGCAGTATTGAGAACATGTGACCAACCTTATCTAACGAAAAAGGAGGTTTGTGGTTGACAAATTTATCGCAAAAACACATCAGTTTTTTGTTTGCAGAAGGAAAATATTTTAAAAACCCCGTTAATTGCTGGTGGAAATTTTAGGATAAAATGATTGCTTGAAATGCATATTACGGAAAAATAATTTTCGGAAACAAGGAATGGTCAAAACAACTTCAACTCAAACTCCTGCATTCCACTCTTATACATAACCTACTCAGGAAAAACACATTCAAAGTTCACTTGTCCTAGTGTTGATAATTTTCTGGTTTTATCGTGCAACTACTCGCAATGTGAATTTTTTATAACACCTATCCCAATATTTTTGCGGAGGCATTAATAGAATTAGGCTACTGGGTGATGTATATTTTCGACGTGAAAACGTAAAAAAACGTTCATGTAACAATTAGGCGAATGCTGAAATTGGGTTTATAGACCTTTTGTATGTTTTATTAAATGCAGGAGACGATAGTTTTGTTCGTGATATGCAGCCCGTTCTACAGACTATAGAATACACTGGTTTGCTCCATGATAGTAATTAACCCTGAGAAAATTAACGGACTAAAATTTAAAACTGGAGTATTTCCGAGAAAACGTACGCGAATAGCTGGAGAACGCACTAATGAGCCTAAAACCTTGCATCGGCAGAATAGGGTGAACACGCTTGCCTGAGTTTAAAGCCAGTGTTCGTGCTGCCAGCATGGTTCATTATCCAATCCCATTAAGTTTCTGTCAACCGTATCCTTTAAATCAGATTTTGAATCGAAGAGACATTGTAATGTTGGATGAATACGACAGGTTCCTGGAAACCAATCATTTTGCTGATATCACGTTTCCGAGAAACAGCAGCAAAATCAACGAAAAACGACCTCTGTAAAATCAAACTGTCACATTGTCAAAAACAAAAGCTTTTAAACTGTTCTAATTTTATTCTAAAAAGACAATTCTTCTATCGAAACAGTATACAAGCATTTGTTTTGCGAACATATTCGAGTTCTATTACAGCGTGAGCTACGTAGACCACAACAAAATTTTGTTTAGAAGTCAAAAATTGTTTGCTTTACGATAAAATTCATAAGACATTAATCGATACCTAGTAAGAGATTAATCTAATGGTTTGTGGCGAGTGTATTAAGTCAGTTTTTATTCATATTAAGAATACACAAAAAACCCTTTGTACTTATCAAGGAATAATTCATTTGGAAGTAGCAAGACCTTTGAGTTTGACGGTTTTTGATTTCCAGGAACTCCAACCTGCCTGCATTGGTGATTTGTGCAGTCAAGAATCAACCAACGTTTTAATGCTGCATACAAATGCATATCTGGGTTGCTACCAACTGTATTAATGACTGAGCAGCAAGAGGCCTTTCCATGGGATTAAGATTAGGCAGACGATGTTTGTTAAAAAAAATATCAAACAGACTCTGCAAACGGGAGATACAAGCGAAATAACTGATCAAGCTCAGGAATTTTAAGGCATTTCTTAATAATTTTAAGAAAGGAGAACATTTTTTATCAAACGAAAAACTAACTACCTTGTGAGGTTTACAAGCAGTAAGATAAGGAAAAAAACTCTAGTTAGCGAAAAAGAAACCAAACACTGTTTTTTGCCCTTTGAGAGGCAAACATTTCGTTACTTCATATGTGACAATAACAACATATTTGTTTTGCGAGTGAGTCTCGATTAAATTTAACCTTCGGGCTTGCCGACATGTTAAAAACTACTGGAGCGTTATCCCAGCACAGCAAAATACACAAACTGACGTCCATCTAATTGTCACCAACACTGTAAGCGTAGTGCGACATAAATTCGCAAACCTAGAGTACATTCATTGTTTTATTGTCGGATAAGTAATATGCATAGCTAAGAATTAATTTGACCGTGCGCATTTGTTTCTGAAGAAAATGAAAAGCTAAAAGTTGACAAGAGTATACAGGAAGTCTGAGAACCTGACTGATGAGCAGAATTGTGCTTGGATGTCTTATCTGACGCCAAAAATTCAGCGAAAATCGTGCCTGGGCTTCTATTTAGTAACCCTTGCTTTCGAAGCAACCCTACCAGGACCAGTAAAGTTTGCAGCAAAAAGATATACTCATTCTCCGGTTTAAAAATACTCTGAGTACACTTTGGAAAAGTAACCATGTACTGCTTTGCACCTGAACATATATTAACACGTGTTTTCTCATATTTTTATGTGAAGTCCGTATTCCCCACCATCCCTACTTTCTCGGACCTATGCGAGATATGGCACCTTTTGGTACAGTTACATTTTCGGTCTCATTTGCACTTTTCGAGCTCTGACTTTGAGAGCCAGGATCTGATTGCCAAATACTCCGTGCTTTTTTAAATGAAACAAACGTGAAGGCCCCGGGGAACAGTTGGCAAACACAGAAACTCTCGTTTTCCTCTCAGGGGACGTTAGCCAGTTAAAGACTGGAATTAATCAAATGACATGCCAGAGATTTAGATGTGCCAATCAGTTGAATTGGATATTTTTTTGCCCCTGTAGTGGGTTCACTTCTGCGACTGCTGAAAATTTCACAGCTCACTGGCTTGAAGTATTAGAAAGATTCAGTTAAAAGATGTTTATTTCGATTGTGCAGATTCTCAGAATGAAAATGGGGCCATGCGACGGCCTTACATATACTTTCCCTTTGCATTTAAAATCAGTACTTTACTCAATAGAGTGATTTACCTTGCTAGTGATTGAATATACTTTGCTTGACAGTTAACCTAATTGTATTCTTATATTCTCAAAACTCATTTTAGAAAATGGAGAACCCCTTTACAATCAGAAAAACTTGGAATGTTTTGCCGGAGAGCCGAACGACTGTGTTGATCGAAGTAAGTTAGGTAGGTTGAACCCAAAATAACTTGTCGCCAAATAACTGTGTTGGACAAGGAAAAGTGGTGGATTGTGCACCATACATCCGTATTTTGTTTTGAAGCCATCTCCCAGCTGACGATAATCCGTAGTATTTTGAACTTTTCTGACATTTTGGGGCAAGTAAATGCACAGCGATTTTAGCAGATTGTGGCGCAGAAAAGCTATTACAATATATTTATTTTAATGACGGTGAAATATGATATCAGTAATAATGACATCCGAGGTGACAAAAAGTGGTACTTTTAGACACAGGTTTCTGTCCCACTCATTTATGCTTTATACAAAAGTTGCAGGAAATAGTCGGAGAGCATCATTTCTCTCAATGAGTATGCATAGGTGACTTAAAAGATTCGAGAAATCACAGTCAACAAACACACTTTTTGAATAATAAATTATCAAGTATATTGGACAACGTACAATGAAAACATTGAAACAGCCAATAGAAAAGAATAAAGTGGAGATCTGTGATTTATCTGGACACGCAAAACGAAGGAGAGAGGTGGAAGTAGGCTCGGCTTCTGAGGTTTGAAGGCAGCGAATAGGATGTCAGTGGAATATGTTTGCGTTTGATTGCCATAGGAGACATGACCGCGGGCTAGAAGGAATGCGGGTAGGCATATGGGGGACTAGCCTTGGTCCAGAGAGGCTGGAGGTATTGAGCAAACGTCTTTAATGTGCATGATGTCGGGGTGACTCACCATATGGTCACCATCACAGCTGTCGGAAGACTCCACTGATGTACGGCTGATGTCTACTCGGAGACGTAAAAAAGGGGACGTTGCCATGTGAGGGGCAGACCACGAAAAACGGTGCTCTCGAATCTGCGTACCCAAGCGCCTAGTCCTGTGAACAATATCATCTGCTGCCCAGGAGGATATACCCACTGAAGCGGTTGAATTAGGCAGGCGGGTTGCCCTTCCCTTCGAGGCGTAGGCGGTGGTGTCGGATAGAATTTGATTTGTATTGTACGCTGGATACGTGCAGGCAATGAAGGAGTTTAAGTGACATAGCAGACATTCACCATCCAAGTCTACACTTTTGAGTACTTCAATTCCTTGGGTGTTTACGTCATATTAATAACAATTTAAAAGGCAGCGTCGAGTTTAGAGGTAGCTCTATTAGCCCACAAATTCGAATGATCAATCCGTACCACAGCTCTGACCGTACATTCTGTTATACCCTCTTCCTTGTGCGAGTAATCGCGACTGACCGTTCAGCATGGCCCATCTGACTAAATTTGGAATAAGTAGAATTTTTTGTTGTCTGTTTAAAATACAGACTGTCCTATCAACACTGTCAACCTTCTGACACGATACAACTACTTGCTTTATTGAATTAAACGATGGCGCCAATAAAAAGGGTATCCTACGGCCATATATATGCACTTCTATTTCTGTTCATCAACGTTTGCCCCGAATAAATGATCGTCCACAGTAAACGGTAAGTGCTAAGTGAACCTACTTTTATACCAAGTTTTATTTTTATCAAGCCCCTCTAGGCGTCCTCGATCATGCTGCCATGCGCAAAAACAGTCTGCACATCGAAGTTTCCGATGGGAGAGATCTGCCACATGCTAGCACTGGCTCAAGCGACGATACACGCGCTCAACTGCCCAGATTCTGTGCTAAACTCTCGGTAAGTCTTGCTGTTAGTTAAAAAAGGCAGACAAGCTTTCACCCTGTCCCTGCATGCTTTCAGTTGCTCTTCTTACCCTCACCCTGCTTCGACCTCCACACCTAAAAGTCACCTTAGTGAATGTGAGTAGGATTGTACAAACTGCCTTTGAGGTGCAGTGTTAGCACTCAAAAGCGCCAACTTTGAACTTCAAAGAGGGCCGCCCACTAAATCTTGGCCACGTTCGTCATGCCTACTGTTCTTTTTGGCAAAAAGGTAGAAGCGTGTAATAAAGCTAAAATGTGC